GTTTACTCTTTTGCAACTCTTCCAAGTGGCAAAGTCACCTTGTCTTCCATCTTGTCTCCTTAGGACCTGGCCCTGTCTGACTTCCTATAGTATTTCTAATTTAGCTGCCTACAACACTATGACACTGGTCCGCAAATCTACCCCATAGGTGGCTGAGTTGAGGTCCCTATCTTCCCCTTGGGGAATCTCCTGAGACTCCATCCACTGACAATCTCACCCAAAGTTGTTTGGGTTTTTTTGTTGTTGTTGTCTTGTTTTGTTGCGCTGTATTTTTTAGGGAAGGGTCTACAGGGTGTTCAAGGTCTCACTACTAGATCAGACTCATACTGCCTGTTTACCACTGCTTCCCCAAGAGCTGGGATTACAGGTGCAGGTCACCACACCAAGTCTCAGTTGCCATCTCGGGGCCCCCACCACCCAAGGTTTTAAGGTAATCAAGGACTCAGACACATAACGAAGCAGAGACCCCAAGTCCTATCCTGTTTTCAGTTCCCCTCTGGGTATCTTTAGGCCCAGCTCTTAATCCCTATTATGAACAGATATCAGCACATGGAAAGTGGGATATCTGGAGCCAAACTGCACCTTAACCAGTGAACCAAATGAATATGTAACTCTAAGAACTTTGTAATAATAAGAGAATAAATGCAAAAAGCTGAAAAGAGAAGAGGTATGAAAATCTAAGGCACGTGGAGCTGACTTACGGAAAGGGAGGACTAAAAAATGTATCCAACGTGTGATAATGCCACCTCTTGAACGCTGGGCTAAGAGAAGAAAAACTGAGAACTGTAGACTTCACCAAAAAAGAAAAGGTGAAGCAGAACTGAGCGTCACCAGCTCCCAGCTCTGCAGACGCGCGTGGCAAGGCGGGAGGCCCTGGCAGGATCAATAAGCAGCAGCTTTCCAGTGTCTGAGCTGGTGTTGTCAACAGTGGAAGGTCAGGATAACAATGCTGGAGGGCAAACCTCAAGCTCCACCTGCCAGGATGGCACTGAGGGGGAGGCTGCAGCAGAGGAAAGCTTCCGCAGAAGAAAAGGCATCTCCTGCCTAAAGAACCCAGAGAAAGAGATGAGGAAGATAAACCCCAGACTCTTAAAAGGAGAACCACTGTAAAGTTGTGTTTACAATGTACAAGCAAGTAATAAAGGAGCTAATACAAAAAAAAAAAAAAAGCCAGAAGCTCCCTCTGTTCTGCAGCCCCAGGACCCCTACCTCTCCTGAGCATGGCTGAAGACATCAGGCCACATCTGTGCCTCATCCAGGCTCTAATATCAACGCTGTTCCAATGGGTTCATTAGGCAGATTTAGCCCACTTTCAGAGCTCACTCCATAGCCTGGGTGTGGTGCCAGTTCTGTTCTGCTCCCTGTCAAGATCCCTACCTTGTCCCAGAATGGAATCTCAGCCCTATTTGCACAGTAACCTGCCTAGATCTTTCAAGCCTCAGATACCCCTGAGGTATCCTTCCTTGTAGGGGTCCACACCTCAAACTCTAGGTATCACCCCAACAGCTATTCCTGCAGATGAATGAACTGAGCTGTATGAGCCAGTCCTGCCCCGGGGTAGGATGCTGAAGAGGCCAAGGATTTGCCCAGAATTAGGCAGGACTTGGAGCAAGAGCCTTGGAAATGTGGCCTGCCTGGACCTTCCTGCCTCCCCACAGCATCACGTATTTCTGTACACGCATTCACTCCTGAGATATTTGCAATACATCCTCAGACAAATCTTAGGCAAGGATGCAGAGGCCGAGCCACTGTGCTCCTGAGGCACAACTTCTTAACAACAGGCCTGTCCACACACAGCCCGCAGGCTGGTGATGAAGGCACCAGCTCCATGCCCACCCTGCCAGCTGCTGCAGTGGGAGGGGCCAAAGGAGGGGTCAGAGGGAGGGGTCAGCGTCCCTGCAGGAGCATAGTGCCCCACCCCACTGGCATCAAGTTTCGGTCCTGTGAGTGTGCCACCTCTGAGCAAGTGCTGCCCCATGTTCCGCCTTTGCTCTTTTCCTTCCACCTCAAGAACTGTATGAGAAGCAGCTGCTTCACCCAGGTGCCAAAGTGAAAAAGACATGAAGTACAGAGGCCCGGGACCTGTCCTGCTGATCATACAGAGCTGACTGGGCAGCTCATGTCCTCCCTGGTCTCTAGGTATGACTCACATGTTGGTGGCTCCCCTATGATGTACCTGGCAGAGCCTTTCTCTCAGCTTCACACCCATCTCTCCATCTGCCTACTCCACTCCCCACCAGTGCATCTAGCAGGCAAATCATGGGTAACATCCAGCACAGAACCCTTGGCTTTACTTCCAGCCACCCTAGGACATTTGTTCTTCCAAGTCTTCTCCAGATGAACTGTCTGCCTTACCTCCAGAACCCCAAATACAAACCCCATCACGCTTCTCTCTCCTACTGCAATAGCCCTCTCGTGGACCTCAGAACCCCTTGTTGCAGGCAGCCAAGTTAGATAGAAGTATTACAGGCAGTCAGAAAGGGCTAGGCCCTCGAAGGAGATAACACAGAAGACAAGATATCTTGCAACACTGGGAGGGATGGATGCTCCTGCCGTGGGCCAGACCTAAAGACCAGAGATCAAACAAATGCCGACCTCCCTAAAGATTGGCATCCGAGATTGATCAGCACCCTGAGGGAGCCAGAAGAATCATTAATCTGACTACTACTGGATGGCTACCTGATAAAGTCCTGCTCTGCATTCATGCCCACTTGCTACGTGACTCACTTCCCCATTTGGTCCTGACTTAATCAGTTTTACCTGAGCAATGGTGCTTGTAATCCCATTGGTTGACCATAGTTTTTTGGTTTTTTTCTCAAGTGATTAGAACAATTTTATTCATCATCCCAAAATGAATTATATATTACAAATTCTGATCAAAACAATAGTATCAAAGGTATTTTTAGTAGTACCACAAACTTTACACAATGATAAAACCAAATAGTAAACTGAGACACATACACTAAACTGTATGCTTGTTTACAAAATTCTTGGACATGGTTTTACAGTTATGAAATGGAAGAGCCACACAAAAATCTGCACATGATTTTCATTTAACAAACACATGAACTATTCTCCATGCTCTCAATAATCAAAGCCTAGAAAATCTTGTGAACAACTTTTAAAAAACAAAATACAGTACTTCTAATTCTTCTTATACTCTACCTCTTCTGTGAGAGGTATTCATAAGTCTATAGAAACAACTTTGGCCAGCAAATCGATTTTTGCATAGGGTCTTTATTAGTTTGGGAATCTCAGAGTACTGAAACATATTGTTTCATTAGAAAACATATACTTGTGCTGGGGAGACAGCTCAGTGGAATAAGCGCTTCCTGTGCAAGCGCAGGGGCCTGAGTTCAATCCCCAGTTCCACCAAAAAAAAAAAAAAAAGAAAAAGAAAACATATACTTGAAAAAAAAAAGAAAGAAAACTTATACTTGACTATCTTAAGCACTGGTTCAATAGCTATCACCATTGAATTGGTCTATCTGACTTATAAATTATAATTAGGAATTATGTGTGATGTAAGAACAGCCTAAAGTGACATCAAAGAGTCTACTGATTCTTGCCTAATTGAGAAAGAACCATACATTTTGGGATGGAAAATACACATGAATATTTTCAATTCTCCTTTTTAAACAGTGATACAGGAATACATCAGCAGAGACATTGTATTTTTGTAGTGCTGTGGATTAAATCCATGCCATGTACAGGCTAGGCAAGTGCTTTACCACTGAGCTACACCACCAGGCCAGCACAATTAAATAAAACTAAGTATTCCAAATCAGGATTTATAGAAAAAATATGGAATGCTTCACGAATTTTGGGTCATCCTTGCGCAGGGGCCATGCTAATCTTCCCTGCATCGCTCCAATTTTAGTACATGTGCTGCCTAAGCAAGCACTGACCCTAGTTTTGTCCTACCCCACATCCGCCTAACGGAGTTCCCATGTTCTCCACCTTAGACCCAAATGGTTTTATGGTATAAAAGTCCCTGGAAGAGACAGCTTCCCAGGGACCACCTGCTCAGGGCCC